AAATATCTTAACTTCTACTTTGTACCATTCACAAAGAAATCAAACATGCAGATTGTAGATTTAGAAAGAAACAGGCTGGATGTGGTGGCTCACACCTGTAATCCCAACACTTTGGTGGGCAAAACCAGGAGAATAGCTCGGGCCCAGCAGTTCCAGACAAGCTGCAGCAACATATGGAGACCTAGTCCCTACAATATATATATATATATATATATATATATATATATATATATATATATATATATATATATTTCCAGGATGAAATCTTGCTCTGTTACCCAGGCTGGAGTGCAGTGGCGTGATCTGAGCTCACTGCAACCTCCACATCCCAGGTTCAGGCAATTCTCCTGCCTCAGCCTCCCAAGTAACTGGGACTACAGGCATTCACCACCATACCCAGATAATTTTTATATTTTTAGCACAAATGGGTTTCACCATGTTGGCCCTGCTGGTCTCAAAAAAAAAAAAAAGAAAAAGAAAAGAAAAAAGCTATCTGTTGGGTACTATACTCACTACCTGGATGACAGATTTGACTCATGTGCACTCCAAACCTCACCATCATGCAATATACCCTGGTAACAATCCTGCATATGTATTCTAAAATAAAAGTTCAAAAACTAAAAAAATTAAAATCACTGAGCTTCTGAGACTCATTTGTGAACCAATTTATTTTCTTGCTATTATTGCTATCATAATTCTTGGCTAAACAACTGTTATAATTGCCTCAATTTTGAAAGTATCAGGGTCGTTTGTTTGTTTGTTTGTTTGTTTTTGAGATGGAGTTTGGCCTTGTCACCCACGATGGAGTGCAGTTGCACAATCTCGGCTCACTGCAACCTCCGCTTACCAGGTTCAAGCAATTCTCCTGCCTCAGCCTCCTGAGTAGCTGGGATTACAGGTGTATGGCACCATGGCTGGCTAATTTTTGTACTTTTCGTATTTTTATTAGAGACAATATTTCACCATGTTGTCCAAGCTGGTCTTGAACTCCTGACCTCAGGTGATTCATCCACCTCAGCCTACCGAAGTGCTGTGATTATAGGCATGAGCCACTGTGCCCAGCCTCAAAATATCAGTTAGAATCTAGCTTCCTGCCCTTTGTTGAGCCAAATGAAATGATAGTTGAGGAGAACTTAGAGGAGGTTACATAGAGCTTTACAAAAACACAGGGGCTGACTCTGGGATAATTTGGACGATACTGGGGAAGAGAAGCATTATTCAAGTGAGGAAGAATCTACATAAAGGAAGAGATTGGGATTTCTTCTTTTTCTTAATTTTTTTTTTCTTTTTTTGAGACAGAGTCTTGCTCTGTCACCCAAGCTGGAGAGCAGTGGTACAGTCTTGACTTACTGCAACCTCTGCCCCGCCAGATTCAAGTGATTCTCCTGCCTCAGCCTCCTGAGTAGCTGGGATTACAGGCACAGGCCACCATGTCTGACTAATTTTTGTATTTTTAGTAAAGATGAGGTTTCACTGTGTTGGCCAGGCTGGTCTCAAGCTCCCAGCCTCAAGTGATCCTCCCGCCTCAGCCTCCCAAAATGCTGGAATTACAGGTGTGAGCCACCGCCCCCGACCAATAATATCTTCTTGTCAGAGGATTTCAACTGGAGGTCAGTTTAAGATTTTTACAATTGTCAAAAGAAGAGCAGGGTTTAGAAAGGCTGAGATACACTGAGCCATATAATTATATCATTAAATACCTGACCATTGGTCATACCTTGGAAAAATCACTGGCCTTATCAGGTGCAACCTAAGTTAGAGTAGTAGATGCTCTATCATTAGGGATTCTGATCTATTCTGAGGAGAACAAAGAGCCTTTTACTCTTAGAATAAATTCTTAGGACCTCTACCTAGTTCAGAAGAGGCCTCCTCTGATTAAGAGACCACATGCGGGCAGGGTGCGGTGCTCACTCCTGTAATTCTAATGCTTTAAGATGCCAAAGCAGGAGAATTGCCTGAGTCCAGGATTTCAAGACCAGTCTGGCCAACAGAGTATCTACAAAAAAAAAAAAAAATTAAAATTAGCTGGATGTGGTGGTGCACCCCAGTGCACACCTATAGTCCATAGCCTGGGAGGTCAAGGCTACAGTGAGCTGTGATCATGCCACTGCTCTCCAGCCTGAGCAACAGAGCAAGACCCTGTCTCAAAAAAAACCAAACAGCTGGGCGCGGTGGCTCACACCTGTATTCCCAGCACTTTGGGAGGCCGAGGCAGGCAGATCACTTGAAGTCAGGTGTTCGAGGCCAGCCTGACCAACATGGGAAAACCCCATTTGACCAACATGGGAAAACCCTGTCTCTAAAAAAAAAAAAAAAAAAAAACCCCAAACATATGTAAGCATATTCATCTACAAAAAATTGTTTTAAAATAAAATCAACAACATTAAAAAAAAAAAACAAAACCAAGAGACTACATGTGTCCTGAGGTACTAGAGTCTCCAGATCCATCTAAGTGCAGAAACTTTTAGTCTATTTGAAAATCTAATTATAGAAGGAAACAATTACCTTGGTGATTTTTTCTTCACTTGCAAATATGAAAAAAATATAATGGTAACGTCTTTCTTTTTTTTTTTTCTTTTTGAGACGAAGTCTCACTCTGTCACCCATACTGGTATGCAGTGGCACAATCTCAGCTCACTGCAGCCTCCGTTTCTTGGGTTCTAGAGATTCTCCCTCCTCAGCCTCCCAGGTAGCTAGGATTACAGGCATGTGCTACCACACCCAGCTGATTTTTGTGTTTTTAGTAGAGACGGGGTTTCACCATGTTGGCCAGGCTGGTCTCGAACTCCTGACCTCAGGTGATCAGCGCACCTTGGCCTCCCAAAGTGCTAGGATTACAGGCTTGAGCCACCGCACCAGCTGTAACTTCTCTTCCTCTCTCCTTCTTTCTTCCCTTCCTTTCTCCCTTCTTCTCTCCCTTCTTTCCTCCTCCTTCCTTCTTTCTTTTCATGTATCCATTCCACAAACAAGTATTTAGAGCAGGGATGTCCAAACTTTTGGCTTCCCTGGGCCACACAGGAAGAATTGTCTTGGGCCACACAGAAAATATACGAACACTAATGATAGCTGATGAACTAAAACACGCACACACACGCATCTTATAATGTTTTAAGAAACTTTGCAAATTTGTGTTGGGCAGCATTCAAAGCCATCCTGGGCCACATGCGGCCTGTGGCCTTGGGTTGAACAAGCTTGATTTAGAGGTTCTTTTATGCAAGGCCAAGTGCTAGATGCTGGGGCTGCGTGGTGAACAGAGGAAGGCCCCTGCCCCGCGGAACAGAGCGTAATTCCCTTACAGTGTAGAACACATGAGCCATGAGGTCAGGAGCTGCGGGGTCTTGTTTACCACTGTATCCTCTACCCCTACCTAGCTCGGCACATGGCAATAAATACATGCCCAAAAATACGTTGAGTGAGTGAATACAAGTTCAGTGTTGCTTCACTGATTAAAGGGTGCTCTTGAACTCCCTCAGCTGGTTAATGCTACCCTGCAGACTGTCCATGTTGCCCTCAGTAAAAACAGCCAGTGTACATTCAGATCTTAAGACTGGTCATCCGGAATACATACCTTATGAGAAAGTAAAGATATTCAGGTTCAGTAATGATACACTTGGTTTGCAAATAACACATGTTCGTTTTCATGTTGCTAAAGACTCCTTGCTAGGAAACGAAACACTTGTAATTTAATATGCAATGTTCTCAAGAGTCTGAGGCCAAACCACCTCAAGCTGTGAATGCCTTGGCTCTGAAGAGCCCGTCAGGGTCAGGGCAGGGCAGCACTTGGCCTGATGCTCCTCCAGAATAAACCAAACAGCCACAGGAAGTGGTTTCTGTGATTCAGTAGGTGGCACACTTCCTTTTGAGTCAGAACTGAATCACAGCTGTGAGAGGCAAAAAAGACCTATTTCTTTATCCCATACTTTCCCCCTATTCCCAGTGGTAAATTTATCACGGACTGTCATATAATGTATCCTGTTTAGTTTAGCGTATTTAAGCAAAACGAAAAACAAATGAGCAAATCAAGTATGAGGAGGCAAGAAAAGAGGGTGAAACATGGCCAACTGAAATTAATCCAAACGTCATTACGTCGTCACAGGGCCATATTCTTGGAGGTGACTGAAAGAAATGCCAGAGTGATTTTGCCCAAGTCATTGAGACCCCTGGTTTTCTCAGCTGGAGTCTGACCCATTTTCAGTGACAGCAGTTAGATCACACTTACATAAACTGTGTGGCTTCAAATGGGCCTGCCCTCCTCTTCACTCACTGACCCTGGCTTGCTCCTTGGCATGTCTGCTGGAAGGCCGTGCTCTGTCTGTCCCAGGCATGGCCCTAGTTCAGCTGCGGGTGAAATGATCCTGTTCTGAATGTACTGAATGCTGCTGGCAATGCTGTAAATTGTTTTGAGGCTTAAGGAAAAACCCCGTAGATATCAACAAGTCATAAAAACATGCGCATTTTCTCTTCGTCTCTTTCCCACTCTGTGTTTTATTCTTTGATATTAATAGTTCTGGGAATGTAAATGTATTTAACCAAGTTTTCTCTGATGAATTAATTTTAGTATGTATTTGTGGCTTCCTTGCATACTAATTTGTTCAGATTGATAGCATGCTTCAGAACAAAGCTTCGGAGACTCAGGCTATGCATCCTGTAACACTCTTGGAAGACCCAGTAATCAGACTGGTATAAGAAATCTTATTGCCATGTTAATATTTCATTTTCCTCCTGGGAAATATGCCCATAATGTAAAGAAAACAAGATTCAAAGTCACATAGACCCATGTGCACATTCAATCTACCCAACATTTGTGGAGCTGTGTGACCTTCAATAAGTCTCTTAACCTCTCTGAGCCATAATTTCCTCAGTCTAAAAAATGGGATGCTAACGTAAGGCCAACATTACAGTGAGAACTAAATAAAGCTTTTACATAGTGTCTAGGACAGCTCCTAGCTCATATTTAGTGTTTAAAATAAGCCTCTGACCTTTCTCTTTATTTACAATACCTTTCCTTTGGGAGGTAAGGACAACGTTTAGACACAACTGTACGGGCATGCTAAGTCTCATCCTTCCAAAGACGTCAGTCACATTCAGCTCCTTTAGCAGTTTCATCAACAGCACCTGGAGTACATGGGATACCAAACAGCAAGTCAGATTCCTTAATAAAGTGGTAAAGAAGGCCAGCCAGGATGCAGGCTCTAAAGCCAAGGCCAGCTCTTCTGGGCTGGGCAGTTGTGGCTGATAGATGACAGCCAAATGTAACAGGAGTCCTCATTTAACATATTGAAGGGAGCACCTCGAGGATGGGCAGGAAAAAGAACCATCTACACTACTCACCGCCAGACCAGCAGTGAGTGCCCAGGTCAAACTGGACAAGGGCTGGCAGACAGGTGGAAATGCGAACATATCATCAGATTTGAAAACCCCTTCTAAAATGTCCATCCGCCCATATCCCTTTGATGCCTCCCACATCCCCCCAGTTCCTCCCAAATGGCATATAAAAAAGGTGATAGCTTTCAGACAAGGTACTCCCCAAACAGTTAAGATCCAGAGCATCATCTTGTATATACCTGTCTTAGAGCTATCACACTGTGTATTGGGGTTTCCTGATTACCTGACAGACTCTTCTGCTAGACAAGCTCCTGAAGATAAGGAGTGGGTCTTATTCATCCTTTAGCCAAGCCTTACCTGTAGCTCCTATGTAGCCCATGGTAGATGCTCAACCAATTTTGTTAACGTGAGAGAAATACAAGAAAGCCAAGTCAGAAATATCACTGTTGCTGCTAGAAAACTTCAAAGAGGAATTGGTGGTCTCTGGTGCCAAGGTCCCGTAAGAGTGACGGCTGGGTGAGCTTCTTGTGAGAAAAGGAGCCAGAAGTCAGAACCCACAGTGTACCAACATGACAGAAAAGAAGATGAAAACTGTTTTCAAATTGCACCTGTCTAAGGCAATCCGAGCTGGACACATGATTTCTGGAGGTCTGGGCATTGTCTGAGTGCAGTGTTGATTATATGTCTCCTGGAGGCTTCTGTTTAAATAACTGCCAGCACAGGATGACTCAGCAGCTGGAGGATGAGATACTCTTGAGCTGCCTCCCTCTTTAAGCGACAAATCACATTGCCCTGAGAGTCTGTGGCAATCTCTGATATGACACTCCTTCCTGCCAGCCCATCAGCCAGGGTGGCAAGTCACAGTTACTAATCTGGAGACTGATCAAAATTGCTGAGAGGCATAGTCTCATGCTCCAAGTGTGGAGAATGATCTTCAAAATGAACTCATATCAATAGATTTTGTTTCTGTGATGGACTCTTACTCTGTTGCCCAGGCTGGAGTGCAGTGGTGCCATCTTGGCTCACTGCAAACTCTGCCTCCTGAGTTCAAGAGATTCTCCTGCTTCAGCTTCTAGAGTAGCTGGGATTACAGACACCCGCCACCACGCCCAGCTAATTTTTGTATTTTTAGTAGAGACAGAGTTTCAGCATGTTGGCCAGGCTGGTCTCAAACTGCAGACCCCAAGTGATCTTCTCACCTTGGCCTCCCAAAGTGCTGAGATTCCAGGCATGAGTCACAACACTCAGCCTTGTTTCTAAAATTTAGAGACTGATTTTAAATTTCTAGTCTGTCTCCATATCCAAGACTCCCGACTGTCTCCAGGATAAAGGAAATTCAATATCTTGGCCATTAGGGTGCTAGGGGAATTTATCTATACCTATCTTCCCAGCATGATAGAATCTTAATTTGTTTTGCTTTTTTTTTTTTCCTCCTTGATATTGGCTTACTTGTGTTTGTTTCTTTATTTTTGTTCCTGGCAGATAAATGGTGGCAGGACAAAGCTTTAAGAATGTGGTCTTAGGCCGGGCGTGGCGTCTCAAGCCTGTAATCCCAGCACTTTGGGAGGCCGAGGTGGGTGGATCACGAGGTCAAGAGATCGAGACCATCCTGGTCAACATGGTGAAACCCTGTCTCTACTAAAAATACAAAAAATTAGCTGGGCATGGGGCACGTGCCTGTAATCCCAGCTACTCAGGAGGCTGAGGCAGGAGAATTGCCTGAACCCAGGAGGCGGAGGTTTCCATGAGCCGAGATGGCACCATTGCACTCCAGCCTGGGTAACAAGAGTGAAACTCCGTCTCAAAAAAAAAAAAAAAAAAAAAAAAAAAAAAAGAATGTGGCCTAGAAGTCAGGTACAGTGGCTCACACCTGTAATCCTAGCACTTCAGGAGGCCGAGGCATGCAGATTACTTGAGGTCAGGAGTTAGGGACCAGCTTGACCAATATGGTGAAACCCTGTCTCTACAAAAAATCCAAAAAAATCCAGGTGTGTTGATCCATGCCTGTAATCCCAGCTACTTGGGAGCCTGAGATAGGAGAATCCCTTGAAACTGGGAGATGGAGGTTGCAGAAAACCGAGATCACCCGAGTGTACTCCAACCTGGGCAACAGAGCAAGACTCATTCTGACAAAGGAAAAGAGAGGAAAGGGCAATGGAGGGGAGAGGAGAGGAGAGAAAAGTGGCCTAGGAGGAAATCCTACCTAGCAATTATTTCCTGATAATTGTAGAAGTTACCATTATTAAAATTTAGTAGGCTGGATATGGTGACTCATGCCTATAATCCCAGCACTTTGGGAGGCTGAGGTGGGAGGATCTCTTGAGCTCAGGCATTCAAGACCAGCCTAGGCAAGAGTAATAACCTGCCCTTACAAAAATATCAAAAAATTAGCTGGACATGGTGGTGTGCACCTTTGGTCCCAGCTACATGAGAGGCTGAGGCTGGAGGATGACTTGAGCCTAGAAGATGGAGGCTGTGGTGAGCCATGATCATACCACTGCACTCCAGCCTGGGTGACAGAAAGAATTCCTGTCTCAATATAAATAAATACATAAGTAGCACAGCACTTTCATCTTTGTCATTAAAAGTCAGTATTCTCTGGATTTTTTTGTTTGACAAATGTCAGTCAGCTTTCAAGTAGGAATCCAAGCATAGCTTAGATACAATAATGAAAAACTATACCTGTAGGAACAAATAACTGAAATTTGTGATTTGGATTAGTTGCTCTGTGCTATGCCTGAAATGAGCTAAATAGGTTTCTAACTTATTTTTTATTTATTTATTTATTTTTTAGATGAAGTCTGGCTCTGTTGCCCAGGCTGGAGTGCAGTGGTGCAATCTCAGCTCACTGCAACCTCCACCTCCCAGGTTCAAGAAATTCTCCTGCCTCCGCCTCCCAAGTAGCTGAGATTACAGGCACATACTACCACACCCGGCTAGTTTTTTATACTCTTTGGTAGAGACGGGGTTTTCACCCATGTTGATCAGGCTGGTCTCGAAGTCCTAACCTCAGGTGATCTATTCACATTGGCCTCCTGTAGCGCTGGGATTACAGGTGTGAGCCACCACAACCAGCTGTTTTCTAACATATTTTTAAGCATTATAAATGCTTTATCTTGTCTGCAGGGCTGATTCAGTTTTCAGATTATGTTTTTGCAACCCCTGGTTCAGATCAAGGGAATGACAATCCACACCATCCACAACCCCGCTATTCACCTCACACCATCCTTCCTACTCACTGCAAACCAATTTCTAACAGGAATTTCCTCCACTACATTAGTATTGTCTCTGGGGAGCAAGAACTTTAGGTCACACATTTTGTGTTTCCTCAGAGCTTAGTTCAGTGGGTCCTGTCCATGAGGTGCTTAACACCACTGATTTGATTTGACTTTGAAAGAGGAGCTCTCCATTAACCTCCAACCTCTGCAGATTGCACTCAAGGATAATTGTGAATTGTGGGTATTTTATTTATGCCCTCCCCCCAGGGTTTTCATTGTTAACCTAATTATTATTTGCAATATTAATTTCTTTTGGCAGGCAGTAGCAATTTTACAAATCTTTTTTGGAGCCCAGAGAGAAATGTTTCCACTTGAGATAAATGTTTGGGTAACAGCACTGAAGAGAGAAAATATTCAGACTCTTTATGATTCTAATTCACTTGCAAATTTTAGTTTTTCTGCTTTGAGATACTCTGTAGCTACAAGTCCTTAGGAAATCCACTTTGGTTTACTTATAATAATTTTAAACAGTATTTTAAAATGAAACAAGTTAAACAACATGTTGTTTTATTAGTTTATTGTAGACATTTAAAAATACATAGATAAGGCTGGACGCAGTGACTCATGCCACTGAACTCCAGCCTGGGCAATAGAGTAATACTTTATCTCAAAAACAAAACAAAAAAACATAGATAAGCACACAGAAGAAACTCTGAAACATCTATAATCTCACAACCAAGAAGTAACAATGACAGACATTCTGGAGCACACACTTTACAAAGTTGTTTGTTTTTGGAGTCGGAGGTGGGAAGGCGAGGGTGGGAAGGTCAAGTTGTAGGCCAGGTCTTTTGTTTGTTTGTTGTTGTTGTTGCTGCTGTTGTTTGAAGCAGGACCTCACTCTGACACCCAGGCTGGAGTGTAGGCTTCGATCTGGGCTCACTGCAGCCTTGACCTCCCTGGGTTCAAGTGATCCTCCCATTTCAGCCTCCTGAATAGCTGGGACTATAGGCACATGCAACCATACCCAACTGATTTTTTTTTTTTTTTTTTTTTTTTTTGTATTTTGTAGAGATGGGTTTTAACTATGTTGCCTAGGCTGGTCTCAAATTCCTGAGCTCAAGTCATCTGCCTGCCTCGGCCTCCCAAATTGCTGGCATTACAGGAGTGAGCCACTGAGCCCAATCAGGAAAGTTTTACCTTGTGTAAGGAAAACTGATCATGCTAGTTCGTTACCTACTTTTCAAATTTAATAACAGATGACACAGCCTTTTCTATAATCATTTAATTGCTGTAATTTTTTTTTTTTTTTTTTGAGATGGAGTTTCGCTCTTATTGCCCAGGCCGGAGTGCAATGGTGCGATCTCGGCTCACCACAACCTCCACCTCTCGGTTCAAGCGATTCTCCTACCTCAGCCTCCGGAGTAGCTAGGATTACATGTATGTGCCACCACACCGAGCTAATTTTGTACTTTTAGTAGAGGCAGGGTTTCTCCATGTTGGTCATGCTGCTTTTGAACTCCCGACCTCCGACCTCAAGTGATCTGCCCTCCTCAGCCTCCAAAGGTGCTGGGATTACAGGTGTGAGCCACTGCCCCCTGCCTAACATTTTTTTTGCTATAACAATTTATTCTTTTATGGCTTCATAATATATTTAACCAAACTTTATATTTCCCATTACTATATAATGCAACAAAGACACTTTTATAAATATTTGTCTGAATCTCCTATTCAGCCCTTCAAGTAGACTTCCTGAATTGAATGTCATAATCTTTCTGAAGCTTTTTTTTTTTTTAAAACAGATGATGGCCGAATGCTGTGGCTCCCACCTGTAATCCCAGCACTTTAGGTGGCCCATGGGGCAAATCACTTGAGGTCAGCAGCTTGAGACCAGCCTGGCCTACATGGCAAAACCCCATTTCTACTAACAGTACAAAAAAAAAAAAAAAAAGACGGTAACATTTCTCTTTAGAAAATTTCTATCAGCCGGGTGCACTCACACCTGTAATCCCAACACTTTGGGGGATCCAAGTGGGTGGATCACAAGGTCAGCAGTTCGAGACCAGCCTGACCAACATGGTGAAACTCTGTCTCTACTAAAAATACAAAAATTAGCTGGGTGTGGTGGTGGGTGCCTGTAATACCAGTTTCTTAGGAGGCTGAGGCAGGAGAATCGCTTGAACCCTGGAGTCAGAGGTTGCAGTGAGCCTACGTCACGATATTGAACTCCAGCCTGGGTGACAGAAAAAGACTCTGTCTCAAAAAAAAAAAAGAAAGAAAGAAAAATCATATCAACTTAAACTCTTATGAGTGCTGCAGATTTTTAGAATTATCATAATAATCTCTCTCTGTTGCCAAATACCTTAGTGTGCATGTGTGTGTGTGTGTGTGTATGTGTAAATTAGCAAACATTTATTGTGCACTTCCTAAATTCTAGGCACA